TGAGTAGGTTGAATGAGGATGTGCCGAATGAGTGTCCGGCATGCGGAGAGACCCCACATGACTCGAAACATCTCTTCGCATGCCCGGAAAACCCGACAACCCTAACGGCCTTGTCCCTGTGGACAAACCCCACAGAAGCTGCACGCTTCCTAGGGTTGCCGTTAGTGGAACTTGACGACAACGACTGAGATACCAACCGTCCTGGGCGGGGTTGTTGTAGCCGCTACAACAACAACAACAACAACCAAACCGCGGTTCAGAGATACTCATGAGCGGGTTCTTGTACCGGTTCAAGTTTTTCTAAGTGGTCGGGACAACCGCCTCGATTTTTGGAGCGGTTCGCAGCCCTGGTTGTAGTGGCTAACCTGATTAGTAAAGTAAAGTCTCCGAAAATTTGTCTTACTTTCTGTGCTTGTGGATTCACGTAAAGTGGTTGCGCTAATAGCTCGATATCTTCCTGCGTTGCACCAATAGGAATTGAAGTGTACGAGCCACGGGTGAATGGTTGAGACTTCCAGCTTGTGCTATAGAAAGACGTATAAATATGAAGAGCATATTGCATAACAAATATTGGGTTCATCCATACCACACGCAGAGCTTTGGTTTCGGTACATACGGATCCTTTAAAAATGTCCGCAATATCTCCGTGCATGTTTCTGCGACTTCTTCATGCGTCAGCGTTTCCATGTATTCAGCCTCTCTGCCCGAAACCCAACCCAAAAGTAGGGTTTCAGATACTTTAGCGAAGGAATAAATCTTTTTGTACCAATTTTTGCTCAAATACTCGGTTGAACTGCGTTCTTCATCCGATAGATGCAAATCATATTTGTCATCATCCCATAACAGCATTATTTCGGAAATGGAGGAATTCATAAACGGTCGATCATATTCCAGGAATATTTTATCGACTGTTCCAAACATTAAATTTTCAATTGCTTCTTGCTTGTAATGCGGTAACTCAGGCGTAAACAAGGTTTTATATGTTGATTTAAGTACACCCAGCGGTATGGTACATATCACATGATCAGCGTAGAAGCATCGCCCATCTTCACAGTCTACTCGTACAGCAGCATCAATAACATTGCCACTCGAATCACAGTTGTCATCAGAATCAGTCGATTTTTCACGTACTGGAGCACTAGTAGTTGTTTTTGTTGCTGCTGCTGCCGCTGTTACTGCACGGACAGTGGGCACTTCAGTAACTGTCTTTTCAGTGTCATCTGAATCGTCTTCGTCTTCCGAATTCTCGTCGACCGTTTCCAGGCCAGTAATCGTCTTTTTCCGCTTCCAATGTATTTTCTTTACCGGACATTTGCTGATTATTGCCTCTTTAGGTATAGGCTCAGAAAGTGGCCGCAAAATCGAACTATAGCCCTGGGGCGGTACAATATTTCCACCTTGCAATTCTGTATAACTTCCTATTGGGTACAAAATGAACAAAAAGCAATTAATAAGCAAGTTATATTCGCATACCACAGAACTTACCTAATTCCAAGAGATCCACTTCGTTCATGCTGGTGCAACCGGTAATACACGTTTCGCGCTTCAGTAAACAATTGAAAATCAATTGTTTCAAGCGTTTTTCTTTCGGGTCTTTCACTGAGCTTAAAAATATTTCAATTTCATAGTTGATGTGCTCTCCCACACTATTAATGTCCGGAGGTGGACTATATTGACACATAAAGTACTCATCACAACGACGCAAAAAGCATACATATGCCTCGTAGATCTCCTGAAGAATGTTAAAAGGAACCTGATGTCCATCCTCGGTTGTGGCAATAACTGTATGCGGTTTGGGTACATTAACCACACTGACTAGACCATGCTGAACGGCAATTTCGAAAATCGGATTACCCAAAACACCGTGAATCCAGTTGGCACCCAGTTCGATCTACAAAGTGTAAAACCATTTTTATTGCTCGCATAATTTGCAAATAAGTAATAAATAGTATAAAATAATATAAAACCTATTCAATGACATAAGCGAATACATTAAAATTAATTAAAAAGAAATGAAATAAACACCTTTAAAAAGAAAACAATCGGAATAGATGGAAATTTACTGAGGCCGTGGCACAATAAACAGGTGAAGTATTTTTTTCTGTAATTCGACTTTCTTAGACAAATTTTTAAGAACATTTTCAAATCAATAAAACACCTTATTACTTCACCAGGTATAAATTCACCATGGGCTGGGACTATCCGTTTATTCCGATATCCAGGTATAATAACGGATAGTTGTGTATGCGGATAAAATTCAGATATCCAGTTAATATCCGTTTATATTTTTCGGGTATTCGCTTAATATACGTCCATTTGTTTATCCGGATATTCTAAATAGTTTGAATTCCTAGAATTGTTCTTAAAATTACTCAATCTATTAAGCTGAAAAATTAAAAAAAAAAAACACACAAAGTTATTTTGTAATTTTTATATTCAAAAATCCGGATATCAGGATCCGAATAATCGTATTTTTTATCAGACATTCGGCCTATCCGGATATTCAAAAAATCAGTCTAGAACCCCAGCCCTAGTTGGCATATCTAAAATGAATGGCGCATATTCTTAGTCATATATAGTTCACAACTAAGTCGAAACTATACTAAGTTACAACTAAAGCTATTCATAGTCGCCCTAGTTTCGACTTTTCTGGCTAAGTACCAACTTAAAATTTAGTTTCGGCTGCAGATGCAATTAATTCGTAACTAGGATGAAGTATTTTACTAAATTAATGAGAAAGACGAAATATGTAAAAATTAAGTTGACTGAATGATCTCCAATTGAAATTTACAAACAGCGATCCATTTGAATCAGAAGATGAAATTAAATGCGTATTACAATTCGTATAAGGCTACAACACAATTTTATAATTGGAATGATTTACATATATAAATGCTCAAATAATAAGTCAATTTCAAACTTGTTCTTTTAAAGCAAATTATGGCATAACATTTAGATATGTGTTTGTATGTTTCATAGCATGCTTACGATAAACATCGACTTCACATCGAGCCCTAACCGCCAAAATAACGTAAGCGCCATTTTTTTCAACATTTTCCTTTTGATGCAGAAATACATTTAGATGCCCTAGGAATATTTCTGCATCAAAAATAATATTTTGAAAAAAAAATGTCGCTTACGTTATTTTGGCGGTTAGGGCTCGACATCATTTCGGTAGTTCTGACTATTTCACACAATTAACAAGAAACTTATACCTTATTCTTTTGCATAAACATGCAATGAAAGTAAAAATTACATAAACGGATGATCAAACTTGACATTATTTAATAAAAATGTAATTTTTCCAAAATATCGTAAAGAAAAATCGATACATTTTCAAACTCGTTTTGCAATATCGTAAAACTAAGTTAAAACTAGTTAGTAGAAGTCTGAAATGCGACTATGAATAGAAGTGAATTTTAAGTTGGTACTTAAATTTAAGTTGCAACTTTATTAGTTTCGACTTAGTGGCTGGACTATGAATACGCGCCAATGAATTTGAAATTTGCCCCAAAATCAAAAGAAATGTTCTGATTAGGAAACGTCATTAAAAGAACCTTTTCTGCATTTATGAGAACTAAGTAAATATTTTATTAATTTTTATCACCTAACATATTAGTAGTTGTGTTTTCGTATTCTCCAGCGAAAAATATCCAGTAACTTGCCAGTAACCAAATTTCGGAGAGCAATACTACGTTCAAGTTGACGAGCTAAACATGTTAAATGGGCTTAAACCAGTTTAAGAACAAAACATGTTCATAAACAAGTTAAATCGCATGCAATTAAAATCACCCAAAACAATCATAGAGTCGGAAGNACGATAAACATCGACTTCACATCGAGCCCTAACCGCCAAAATAACGTAAGCGCCATTTTTTTCAACATTTTCCTTTTGATGCAGAAATACATTTAGATGCCCTAGGAATATTTCTGCATCAAAAATAATATTTTGAAAAAAAAATGTCGCTTACGTTATTTTGGCGGTTAGGGCTCGACATCATTTCGGTAGTTCTGACTATTTCACACAATTAACAAGAAACTTATACCTTATTCTTTTGCATAAACATGCAATGAAAGTAAAAATTACATAAACGGATGATCAAACTTGACATTATTTAATAAAAATGTAATTTTTCCAAAATATCGTAAAGAAAAATCGATACATTTTCAAACTCGTTTTGCAATATCGTAAAACTAAGTTAAAACTAGTTAGTAGAAGTCTGAAATGCGACTATGAATAGAAGTGAATTTTAAGTTGGTACTTAAATTTAAGTTGCAACTTTATTAGTTTCGACTTAGTGGCTGGACTATGAATACGCGCCAATGAATTTGAAATTTGCCCCAAAATCAAAAGAAATGTTCTGATTAGGAAACGTCATTAAAAGAACCTTTTCTGCATTTATGAGAACTAAGTAAATATTTTATTAATTTTTATCACCTAACATATTAGTAGTTGTGTTTTCGTATTCTCCAGCGAAAAATATCCAGTAACTTGCCAGTAACCAAATTTCGGAGAGCAATACTACGTTCAAGTTGACGAGCTAAACATGTTAAATGGGCTTAAACCAGTTTAAGAACAAAACATGTTCATAAACAAGTTAAATCGCATGCAATTAAAATCACCCAAAACAATCATAGAGTCGGAAGGCATTTACGGACTCAAGTAAAGAAACTAGCTGTGTATATACTGATATGGCAGAATTAGGAGGAATGTAGCAAAAAGTTAAATAAACATAACTCTTACCAGCCTGTACACGTATACATTTAAATTCGGTACATTCAATGACAGGAACACTAACTTCCTCGGATGGTATCGACGAATGCACCGAAAAAAGAACACCACCGTCGATTCTGCCCTCGCGGTCGCTCCTGTATATTTGATATTCATTTGGAAGAATGTCGGAATTAAAAATATGAGGTTTGAGCCAGATTTCGGTTAAGGAAATAATATTATAATTGCAGTCAAAACCTTTTAAATATAAGTCAGTTAATTTGGTATTCAAACCTCTGAACATTTTGATAGTTAATACTTAAATTAGACTTGCGAGTTAGTTTTTTGAATCAGTATTAAGACTAGAAACTTTAGCTACGTTGTTATTACTTTTATAAAGTTTATACTCAAACTCGCGAACAAACGGCCCGGTTTGCCAAAATGAATTATTTAGTAGTGAATCAAAATCTTCGGCAGCTATATCAATTTTAAAAGATGAAATATGGCGATCGTATTTAAAATCAAAATTACGAATAAATACATCTTTAGTTTTAACCTTACTCGATACGTAGGACTTTATATGATCCGAAGAAGTGTTTTTAGCAAATATATAGACAAAGATTGATCTTCTCGGAGGAATTACAATCAACTTTTTGGTAGTGACTTCAGATATACGGGATTCCGACTTATTCGGAGGATCTATGTTAGATAGGGCAGCTTTAGATGCCGATGGCAACACTGTTAGATCAACAGTTTGATTGTTGTTATTATTTTTAGACGTGGACCTAGTGGATATGGCTTTAGATATCGGAGGCTCTAATGCGTGAGGGCATGGAGAAGAAAGATTGATTAGATCTAAGGGCTGAGATTTTTCTGTGCAGATTCAGTGACTATCTTTTTAAGTGGACTAATAACACGCCTACGCTTATTTTCTCCACTTTCCTCGGAGTTTAGAGGGTTGTCGGGTAGCGTGGGCCGAAAATCCGCTTTTTAAGAAATTTGATTGGTAATAGCAAAAAATATCGTTCATTATGCTCTAAAAAATATCTGTGTGCAATGTGAAAATTTTTGGCCAATATCCTAGGCTCGCCCAAGTCCGTCGCTCTTAACGTGACAATTGGCGTAAACACACGACATATTTGAACTGAAATCATCGGACTAGTGGCCTAAAAATGCAACTGTTATGATAAACCGGTTAAAATTTGTTTGTTTGATGGCAGCAAACCTTAAGTCAAGATTTTGAGTGTCAATTCAAAGTTCGGAGTATGCAGTTTTTTCCACTCGGATAAATTTATGACCCGTTCAAACCCTAAATCATGATAAAAACATAGCAAGGTAGAACCGTTCTCTCCATTTGTCGGCCATGCTTTTTTTTTGAAGTTTGCCAACATTTTAAAATCATATAAAAGTGAAAATAAAAAATTGAAATTGTTCGAAATTGTTGTTGCTTGAGATTGAAAATGAAAATGTGTGTGTGAGTTTGTGAGTAAATTTAAAAATAAATTGTTTGGAAACGTCAAGAATTTTAAAAGTGACTCTCAGCGGTTCTACCTTACTATATTTTTATCATGCCCTAAATAATACTAGTGTCTTCTGAATTCACTTCTACAACTGTCCCATCGGAGGACAAAACTTCCTTAAAGTGCCATTTAAATATATTATATTTCCCACTGACTTATAGGCAAAATATTGACCGCCTTGCGAAAAATTCCATGAATTTGCTGAATTTTTGGGTCTTTGAGGCACGTCTTTCCTAATGCGATTTAAACAATTTTTCGCAGGTCACGTTTTTATGGCCAAATGACCTTTCTGGTGGGAATCTTGTTTTGTAGGACAAAGTTGCAAAATAAGACGCTGTCTACTGCACATGCATGATGATATTCATTGAATTATTTTGCAAAACTATAACTAAATTGGGGAGCGAAGGGTGTTATAGACCACATAAAGAAAAATTTTTGTAGAAAACACGGAAATCTGAATTTTTGCAAATTTTTTAATGGATAACACAGCCCAACAAAAATATAAAAATAATTTTGGTACGGCAAATGTTAAAACTGTTTTTAATATATTTTTTTTGCTGATTACGAATCTGTAAGCACAAAGTTTCCATCTGCTCCTGATAAAAAAACGAGGTCAAAGTATCAAAAAATCGCGGGGTTGGCCTTGCGGCCGGGCCTGGA